GTGTCTGTGTGTGTGTTTGAGTGAGTGTGTGTGTCTGTGTGTGCGCGCGTGTGCGTGAGTGAGTGAGTGTGTGTGTGTGTGTGCGTGAGTGTGTGTGTGCGTGTGGTTTACCTTATTACTTTATGACCAGTAAGAATTTGTGACTCTCAGGCCCCGCCCCTGTGCTGCTCTGATTGGCTCGTTCAAACTCACAGCTTTGAGCTCCCACATGTGTGACCTGCAGCAGCCGGGTCAGCCTGAGAGGGGTCGTGACCTCTGTGTGATGAGATCATTCATTAAGTGAGGCTCATTGTGTCTGTTGGTGTTCGTTCGAGTGGAATCAGATGAACAGACAGAAACACACCACAGATAAAGATGAAGCTCCTCATACTGTCTGTCTTTACGTTGATATTTTTTTATAAATATTAATTATTTTAATATATACATTATAATTAATCTTTTATAAAATATTTGACAACTTTAAAATATTTAATAGAATTATACATGTGATTTTTTTACTTTATACAAATATTATAATATAATATAAACTACTATATATTATCCATAAGACGCCAGACAGATAAAAATACACCACAGATGAAGATGAAGCTCATCACTATCTGTCTGTGATGTATTTTCATGGTTGTGTTTGATGCAGCTGTTCTCTGATCGTCCCGTCTCTCTCTCTCTCAGCCGGTCCTGAACCGCGCGGGTCTCCCTCAGGGCCCGTCCGATCAGAAGGTCGTCGTGGTGACGGTGGACGACTGTGACACGTCGGTGGCGCTGCGCTTCGGTCACGTGATTGGAAACTATTCGTGCTCCGCCCAGGGCAGCCAATCAGGATCCAAGAAGTAAGAGCGCGAGTCTGATGAGCGCTAATCGCCGGTAATAGCGTGAGTGTGTAATGTTGCGTTGTTTTGCGGCAGGTCTCTGGATCTGACGGGGCCGCTGCTGCTGGGCGGCGTTCCCAAACTCCCCGAGGAGTTTCCCGTCCGGAGCCGGCAGTTTGTCGGCTGCATGAAGGACCTGCGCATCGACCAGCGGCACATCGACATGGCCGGATTCATCGCTAATAACGGAACGCTAGCCGGTGAGGAGCTACCGGTGATTTATCGCGCTTCCTGCGACAGTGTTTTCCCGTAACGAGCGCATTATGTTGTTTTCCCAGGATGCTCGGCGAAGCGTAATTTCTGCAGCACTAACCCGTGTCTGAACGGCGGCGGTTGCGTGAATCTGTGGGGTTCGTTCCGATGCGACTGTCCGCTGGGATTCGGAGGACGGAACTGCGAGAAAGGTGAGCGAGCGTCACGTGAGCCGCGCGTCCGTTAGCGGCGGATCGGTCAGTAACCACACCTATCTGTCTGTCTGTCCGCAGTGATGCCCAACCCGCTGCGTTTCCGTGGTAACGGGCTGTTGTCGTGGCGGGATGTGGCTGTCGTGGTAACGGTTCCGTGGCACCTGGAGTTCATGTTTCGCACGCGGCAGCCGACGGCGACGCTGATACACATCAGTTCAGCACAACAACACAACCTCACCATACAGGTGCCGTTAAAAACATACTCCATATTCATACTGTTTTACAAATGAGGGCGTCGTTAAACGAAGGTTTCACCAACTTGAGCTCTCAAACAGATATGAAGCACACACGGTTGAGCAGCTTCAGCAGCAGGTGCACAGACTGATTTTTTCATGTGTCTGCAGCGCCTCCTGCTGGCTGTGTGTGATATGACACCTTACACACACAAAACCGGAGTTTAACAGGCAGTTTTTGTTGTTATTAGATTTGAAAAACACCATAAATGTGATTTTTTTTTTGTTCTATGTATTTGTATTTCCTATTGAAAGTTGGAGTGGGATATTGATAAAATAATTTATACTTGCTTCATTCAATATTTTATATGAATATACTGTAATCTTATATATTATAATATGTATGATGACTTCTAGAGCATGTTTGATTGGACAGATGTTTGTGTAGTGCATGATGATGTCATCAGTTCAATTCAAGTTTATTTGTATAGCGCTTTTCACGATACAAATCGTTTCAAAGCAGCTGTACAATATATGTTTCTACAATATATTAGTAGTAGCTTATCAGTGGTGATGATAATATTACCAAGGGGCAACATGTATATTAAAAATAGCAGAGGACCTAGGACAGATCCTTGTGGCACTCCATATTTTACTGGTGATAATTGAGATGATTCCCCGTTTAAATAAAAAAAGTGGTAGCGATCGGACAGGTAGGATCTAAACCATCTTAAAGCCTGCCCTTGAATACCTGTATAGTTTTGTAATCGATCTATGAGTATGTCATGATCTATAGTGTCGAACGCAGCACTAAGATCAAGTAAAACTAGCAATGAGATTGCTCCGCCCAGGGCAGCCAATCAGGATCCAAGAAGTAAGAGCGCGAGTCTGATGAGCGCTAATCGCCGGTAATAGCGTGAGTGTGTAATGTTGCGTTGTTTTGCGGCAGGTCTCTGGATCTGACGGGGCCGCTGCTGCTGGGCGGCGTTCCCAAACTCCCCGAGGAGTTTCCCGTCCGGAGCCGGCAGTTTGTCGGCTGCATGAAGGACCTGCGCATCGACCAGCGGCACATCGACATGGCCGGATTCATCGCTAATAACGGAACGCTAGCCGGTGAGGAGCTACCGGTGATTTATCGCGCTTCCTGCGACAGTGTTTTCCCGTAACGAGCGCATTATGTTGTTTTCCCAGGATGCTCGGCGAAGCGTAATTTCTGCAGCACTAACCCGTGTCTGAACGGCGGCGGTTGCGTGAATCTGTGGGGTTCGTTCCGATGCGACTGTCCGCTGGGATTCGGAGGACGGAACTGCGAGAAAGGTGAGCGAGCGTCACGTGAGCCGCGCGTCCGTTAGCGGCGGATCGGTCAGTAACCACACCTATCTGTCTGTCTGTCCGCAGTGATGCCCAACCCGCTGCGTTTCCGTGGTAACGGGCTGTTGTCGTGGCGGGATGTGGCTGTCGTGGTAACGGTTCCGTGGCACCTGGAGTTCATGTTTCGCACGCGGCAGCCGACGGCGACGCTGATACACATCAGTTCAGCACAACAACACAACCTCACCATACAGGTGCCGTTAAAAACATACTCCATATTCATACTGTTTTACAAATGAGGGCGTCGTTAAACGAAGGTTTCACCAACTTGAGCTCTCAAACAGATATGAAGCACACACGGTTGAGCAGCTTCAGCAGCAGGTGCACAGACTGATTTTTTCATGTGTCTGCAGCGCCTCCTGCTGGCTGTGTGTGATATGACACCTTACACACACAAAACCGGAGTTTAACAGGCAGTTTTTGTTGTTATTAGATTTGAAAAACACCATAAATGTGATTTTTTTGTTTGTTCTATGTATTTGTATTTCCTATTGAAAGTTGGAGTGGGATATTGATAAAATAATTTATACTTGCTTCATTCAATATTTTATATGAATATACTGTAATCTTATATATTATAATATGTATGATGACTTCTAGAGCATGTTTGATTGGACAGATGTTTGTGTAGTGCATGATGATGTCATCAGTTCAATTCAAGTTTATTTGTATAGCGCTTTTCACGATACAAATCGTTTCAAAGCAGCTGTACAATATATGTTTCTACAATATATTAGTAGTAGCTTATCAGTGGTGATGATAATATTACCAAGGGGCAACATGTATATTAAAAATAGCAGAGGACCTAGGACAGATCCTTGTGGCACTCCATATTTTACTGGTGATAATTGAGATGATTCCCCGTTTAAATAAAAAAAGTGGTAGCGATCGGACAGGTAGGATCTAAACCATCTTAAAGCCTGCCCTTGAATACCTGTATAGTTTTGTAATCGATCTATGAGTATGTCATGATCTATAGTGTCGAACGCAGCACTAAGATCAAGTAAAACTAGCAATGAGATGCAGCCTTGGGCTGACGCAAGAAGCAAGTCAGTGTTTATCTGGTCTGTGAATGATGAATGGACGTCACTGAGTGTGTGTGTGTGTGTGTGTGTGTGCCAGCTGAGGGAGGGTTACGTGTTGACGTCGCTTCAGCGCGGCGAGGACTCCACCGTGTCTCGTGTTGATGATGTCACAGTGAGCGACGGCCAATGGCATCATGTGTTGCTGGAGCTCCGGGGCCCCGCGGCGGGCGGCGTAACGGCGGCACTGAGCCTCGACCACGGCCTGTACACGGTCAGACACCATACGCTTGACCTCGCCTTAAAATATTCAAATCTTTATTATGTTATAGTTTAATACAATTAAAATGTTTTATGAAGACTTTTATCATTTTAATTTATTTACGAATATAATGTAGACATAAGGGTGTGTGTGTGTGTGTGTGTGTGTGTGTGTGTGTGTAGTCGTCTATGGATCTGGACTCTAAGCTGAAGGGTGTTAAACTGAAGACTGTGAGTGTCGGCGGAGTCACAGACAGCAGGAATAAAGTCATCAGTGGATTCAGAGGATGTGTTCAGGTGATACACACACACACACACACACACTCTCTCTCACACACACACACACACAGATATATGATCATCACATGTGATTGTCTGCAGGGTTTGTGTCTGGGTGACTCCACCTCGGCTCTCGTGTTTCCCAGCATGCACCAGGCTGATGTGGTGAACGTGGAGTCGGGCTGCAGTCTGCCAAACCCCTGCGGGTCGAACCCGTGTCCGGCTCACAGCGACTGCAGCGACGACTGGGACACACATTCCTGCAGATGCCACAGCGGTCAGTCCGATTATAGTGATCCATATCTGTGATTAGTTTTTGTTTTGTGTTTTCCGTTTTGATTACAATTTTAGTTAGTTGTATTTTTTACTTAATTGAAATATTTATTATTTATTTTGTTGTGTTTTTGTATTGTTTACACATGATAACAGGTTACTACGGCAACAACTGCAGCGACGCCTGTGCTCTGAACCCCTGCGAGCACCAATCAGCATGCAGCAGGAAGTCAAGCTCCGCCCACGGATACACGTGTAACTGTCCCAGCAGCTACTTCGGCCAGTACTGCGAGAAAAAGTACGAGTGTTTCCTGACGCGCGCAGATTCACGGCACTGTGATGACGTGTGTGCTAACGTGTGTGTGTGTGTGTGTGTGTGTTCAGGATGGATCTGCCGTGTCCCCGCGGATGGTGGGGCGATAAGTCATGTGGTCCGTGTAACTGTGACACGGCTAAAGGATTCGACGCCGACTGTAACAAGACCAGCGGCGCGTGTCGCTGCAAGGTTTGATCAAACTTTATTGCTGTGTCTATAGTTAATGCTTTTAGTTTTGAAAATGTTTATTAAAACAGTATTTAATCATTTATATTTATATGTTTTTGGTTAAATTGTATAGTTTTTTATTGTTTAGATTTTATATTATTTAATAAACTATTATTTATTTCGATTATTTTATTTTATGTTGTGTAATAAATTGTATATTTTATTAGATTATACAGTGTATTAAACAATATAAAATTAATTTAATAAAAATACATTATACAATTTATTAAACAGTATAAAATTATAATAATGTATTGTTGTTTAATTTTTATGTTGTTTAATAAATTGTAACATTTATATTATATTCTTATTTTAACATTTATTTTTTTATCATACTATTTTAATTTTATACTCTTTAATAAACTATTTTTTTCCTGATTATTTTAATGTTATAAAATAAAATATATTGTTTTTTATATTGTAATTAAACAAAAATTAAGTTATAAAATAAAAATATTATATAATTAATTTTTAATTCTATTTATATTATTCTATTAGTTTATGGTGTAAGTTGTAAAAAAAAATTTTTTTTAAACTTTATTTTAATATTGTATTATTATTAAAAAAAAAAAATCTGTTTTTTTTTTATATTGTTTAGAATATTTTAGAATTTATTATTTTTATTATACTATTTTATTTTTATACTTGACTGCTAGTTAGAGTGTTGTGTTAGCATCTAGTCATCCAGTTTTTTTTACCTAAAATGCAGAAAAAATGGTCCTCATGTCACACAGACCACACCAGTTGAATATGTGTGACCGTCTGTGTTGTAAATGTAATGTGTGTGATTCTCTGGTCAGGACAATCACTTCCAGCCTGCAGCGAGCGCGGCGTGTCTGCTGTGCGACTGCTACGCCGTGGGCTCATTCTCACGCTCCTGCGACCGGGACAGCGGTCAGTGTCCGTGTAAGCCAGGTGTCATCGGGCAGCAGTGTGACCGCTGTGATAACCCCTTCGCTGAGGTCTCTTCCAGCGGCTGTGAAGGTCAGACTCTCAGACACACGCTCATCAGGCTTTCATGTGTGTCCCACAATCCCTCAGTAACACGTGTGTGTGTGTGTTCAGTGATCTACGACAGCTGTCCGCAGGCTATGGAAGCAGGGATCTGGTGGCCGCGCACCAAGTTCGGTTTACCAGCGGCCGTCTCGTGTCTGAAAGGATCCATCGGTACGAATCAAACATTTAACACTCACAATGTTAATATAACGTTGTTTTTATGGTAAGAATGGTCACTTTATCAGATTAAATAGCTGTAAAGTTGCTGAGAAGGTTTTTTGAAGACTTTTGTGATTAGTTCAAGGTCATTTCCAGAAAAAAAAAAACTTCAAACAGCGTTGTGTGAACAATAGCAGCTAATATAAACACATAAAGCTGCACATGTTCTGCCATGTTTAACATGGTTTAACTAGTGTGCTGTGTGACTTTACCTTGGTAAGAAGATAGATGTGCTTACAATTACATATTAGCATTTTACATCTTCATATGTGACTTAATCTAGCAGATACTAGTGTTGAAACAGCTTTTAATGGTAAATAATCTACAAAAACAGATTTTTTTCCCCAGCTTTATTTACATTTCAAAGTAAATTGTCATTTGTGTTAAAAATATTTTAATGACGTTGTATTTGTTTGCAGAAAATGCAAATTATTATTATTATTAAATATAATTATTATAATAATTTATTATTATTATTATTTATTATCAATAAATTAATTATAATAATTTATTAATTAATTACATTATAATTTAGAACCTTTTTATTTATTTAATTATTATTAGTTAAGCAAATCCAGCAAGACTTTTTGGTTTCACTTTAGTGAAATCTGCTAGAAAACTCTTGAAAATCAAGAAAATCATCCATTTAAAACATATATATATAACTTTTAAAGTGAGCTACAAAAAAGCATTATTTGTTTTTTTTGTCATATATTTTACTATTACTATTTTAATATTTTAATTATATTCATGTTTTACTATTTTGGCTTTATATTTGTGTGCAGGAACTGCAAATTTGATTTATTTATATTTGATGTAGTTTGTCCTTTACTATTGTAATGGCGTTGTATTTGTGCGCAGGAACTGCGATCCGTCACTGTGACGAGCACAAGGGCTGGCTGTCACCGAACCTCTTCAACTGCACATCCGTGAGCTTCAGTAAACTCAAGACACTGGTGAGAATCTCACGCCTCACACACACCTCTGGCGTTAGCTCCGCGCGTCCTCACCTGTGTTTTCACGCCTGCAGTCGGAACGTTTGGTGCGTAACGCGTCTCTGATGGACTCCAGTAACGTCCAGCAGACGGCGGCGCTGCTGCGTAACGCAACGAAGAACGTGAGACAGTTCTACGGCAGCGACGTGAAGATCGTGTATCACCTGACGCGTGCCATACTGCAGCACGAGAGCAGCCAGCAGGGCTTCAACCTCACCGCCACGCAGGACGTCCTGTTCAACGAGGTACGCGTGCGCAGCTGCAGCGCTAACATGCTACAACGTTGCACAGTTTTGTTTTTTGAGTAAAGCTATTTCAGTTAGCTTTCCATTTAAATAATGCATAAATAATATAGTTAAGAAAATTAGTTTGCATTCTAAAAGTAATGTTTCTTAAGTATTTATGAACTAAAAGTAGTGATGCGACCAACTACATACATTTAGCTTTGCAAGCTATTTTCTCTCAGATGTAGCATTAGGAAGTCCTGCGTAACAAAGTATGCGTGTGCAGTTTTAGCGCTGATACGCTACAATTAATGCATGTTGCGCAATTTTTCTTGAGTTAAGAAACACATTATTTCAATATTATTAAATGCATTATTAAATGCGTTATTTATACATTTGTATACTTCGGCACAAAATAACGCATAATACGTACCTAGTTATTTTTATTAGGAATACTAGTCCGCATTTTAAAAATAGCGATTTTTAAGTAGTGATACTACTTAAAGTAGTGATGCAAACTACATTTTTAGCATTGTAAATCTTTTTCTCTCCTTTGTAGCATTTAGACATGACTAATTTGAGTGAAAAATATAATTAATAATTATAACAGTTTATTATGATTTTAATTATATATATATAACGTTTTTTATTAATTATTATTAGTGAAGTAAATCCACGTAAAAACAAGAGAAATGGGAATATTTGTAGATTTTATTTGAAGTTTTGCACCAGATTTACAGGAAATAATAGTTTATTTTTATTAGGAATACTAGATGCATTTTTTAAAGTAACGAAGTAGTTACGAACTAAAACAAGTTACGACATTTTTACTCTGTGATTGGTCGCTGTGGCAGCACCTGATGCACGTGGGCAGCGCTATACTGTCGGTGGAAACGCGCGGACACTGGGAGCTCATCCAGCAGACGGAGGGAGGCACGGCCACACTGCTGCGACAGTTCGAGGAGTATACGAACACACTCGCGCAAAACATGAGGAAGACCTACCTGAGCCCCTTCACCATCGTCACGCCCAACATCGGTCTGTTGTTTCATTCCTTCACTGATTTACATGCACACACCCTCCATCCAAACCCCGCCCTCTGCAAACCTGGATGTACAAAATGATTGATGTGCCAAGAGTGTTTCTGATTGGCTAAAGATTCGCAGGCCACGCCCACTCCCTCTTTTAGTCAGTAATATCGACGCATGATTTATCATATTACAACATTCACTGAAATCTGTCAAAGGTAGTAGTGACATTTTATTTGTGATATTTAAAAAAAATAAACACATGCACTACCTTGACATTTCAGTTTATTTTTTATTCCATGGACTTTTATTTAAATAATAAAAAATGTACTGGAAAAGTTTTAGAGCTTAAAAATCAAGAGAAATAAGTGAGGTATCCGTAGATTTTATTTGGACTTTCACACCAGATCTACATTAACATCTATACATCTATATGATTAATCTAGATACTACAAAACTACTGTTACTGTAAGTTAGCTAAAGTAGTGTTATTTGATATGTTTTTTATTTCATTTAGTTTGTCATTTACTTTGTGTTAAATGTTATTTTAGTTTGCAAACCTGTTTTGAATCAGTAGTTTTCGTGCCGTCTCATTCCAGTCATCTCCATCGATCGTTTGGAGAAGATGAATTTCGCCGGTGCTAAACTGCCGCGTTATGAGTCTCTGCGCGGGCCACGCCCACTCGACCTGGAGACGGCTGTCACTCTTCCCGACTCGGTCTTCATCCCCGCCCCCGAGGGCGAAGGTCAGCGGCACCACAACGAGCCAATCGCAGAGTCCGGCAGAAACCACACGACCAATCGGAAGAAACGGCACCCGGATGAGCGCGAGCAGGACGCCGTCGCCAGCGTCATCATCTTCCACAGCCTAGCGGCGCTGCTTCCAGAGCGATACGACACCGACAAGAGGAGCCTCAGGTGAGACCAGACCAGACTAGACTAGACCAAACTAGACCAGACCAGACTAGACTAGACCAAACTAGACCAGACTAGACCAGACTAGACCAAACTAGACCAGACTAGACTAGACCAGACCAGCCCAGACTAGACTAGACAAGACCAAACTAGACCAGACCAGACCAGACTAGACCAGACCAGATTAGACCAAACTAGTCCAGACCAGACTAGACCAAACTAGACCAGACCAGACTAGACTAGACCAAACTAGACTAGACTAGACCAGACCAGACCAGATGAGACATTCACAGATTCATTGATTGATCTAACGCTGTATGTGTGTATAGGGTTCCAAAGCGTCCGGTCATCAACACTCCTGTGGTCAGTATAACAGTTCATGATAATGAGGAGCTGCTGCAGCACACGCTGGATAAACCCATCACGGTGCAGTTCCGCCTGATGACCACTGAGGAGCGCTCTAAACCCATCTGTGTGTTCTGGAACCACTCCATAGTGTGAGTACACACTCACATGTGTGTGTAGCGTGTAGATATGATGTAGGTGTTTGTGAGCTTGTGTTGTGTTGTGTGTGCAGCGCTGGCGGTCCGGGCGGCTGGTCTTCTAAGGGTTGTGAGGTGGTCTTCAGGAACAACACACACATCAGCTGTCAGTGTTACCACATGACGAGCTTCGCCGTGCTCATGGACATCTCGCGCCGAGAGGTGACACAACTCAACCTAACCTAACCCAACACTAACCTGATCAGAATTACATTAGTAACAGAGGGTTGGTCTCTGCTAACTTGGGGCAGTATACCTTATACCTGTACGTCCCTAGTAACTACTGAAAACACCCTAGAAACTGCTAAGCAACCACAAAAAAAAAACACCCAGAAAACCCTACCAACTGCTTAGCAAAACCCTACCAATCACCCAGGACACCCTAGCAACTGCTTATCAACCATATAGCAATGCCCTAGCAACTATCCAGAAAACCCTAGCAACTGCTTATCAAGCACATAGTGATACCCTAGCAACCACTCAGAAAACCCTAGCAACAACCACTGAGAACAATGTAGCAACTGCTTATCAACCATATAGTAATGCCCTAGCAACTACCCAGAAGACCCTAGCAACACCCTAGCAACTGCTTATCAACCACATATCAACACCTTTTGCAACTATCCAAAACACATAGCAACACTCTAGCAGTCACTCAGAAACCCCTACCAAATGCCTAGCAACACCCCAGCAAACACCCAGAACTCCCTAGCAACTCTCTTACAACCACATAGCAATGCCCTAGCAACCACCCAGAAAACCCTAACAAAAACCACTGAGAACACTGTAGCAACTGCTTATCAACACACTAGAAATCATACAGAACACCCTAGCAACTGCCTAGTAACCACATAGCAATGCCTTAACAACCAGCAGGAAAACACTTCCAACAACCACTGAGAACATTCTAGCAACTGTTTATCAACCATATAGCAATGCCCTAGCAACTGCCTAGCAGCACCCTAGCAACTGCCTAGTACCAACATAGCAATTCCCTAGCAACCACCCAGAAAACCCTGCCATCAACTGCTGAGAACACCAAAGAAACTGCTTACCAACCACATAGCAACACCCTAGAGATCACCCAGAAAACTAGCAACTGCTTAGCAACCACATAACAATGCCCTAGCGATCCCTCTGAACAACACCCTAGTAACTTTTAAGCAACCACTTAGCAACACCCTACCAACGCCCTAATAATCACTCACAAAACACTACCAACTGCCTAGCAACCACTGAGAACACTGTAGCGACTGTTTAGCAAGCACATAGCAACGCCCTAGCAACCACCCAGAAAATTCTACCAGCTACCTAGCAACCACTTAGCAACGCCCTATCAACCACCCAGAAAATTCTACCAGCTACCTAGCAACCACTTAGCAACGCCCTAGCAACCACCCAGAAAATTATACCAGCTACCTAGCAACCACTTAGCAGCACCCTAGCAACCACTCAGAACTAACCTTGTCAAATCCAGTGACTAGTTCTTCCTCTGAAAATGAGTTTCATCTCTTCTGGTCAAGTCAGGTACCAGTTACTTACTGTTTACGTTCTTGGTACTTCCTGGTCTAGACTTGTTGTATCTTTAAAGTCATTCAATCAGATCCTTTTTTTAAATGTTAATACACAGCAATCTGAGGCTGAATAGATCTTGATCCTGATTTGGAACACGGACTGCCGAAGTGTACTTTGCGCTGAAAGTTTGAATGAACGAGTGTTGTCTTTCAGAACGGAGAGATCCTGCCGGTGAAGCTGATCACGTGGAGTTCGGTGGGTGTGACGCTGGGCTTCCTCTTCCTCACCATCGTCTTCCTCACCTGCCTGCGGGCCGCGAGCAGCAACAAGACCAGCATCGTCAACAACGGCGCGGCCGCGCTCTTCATCGCGCACCTCCTCTTCATCTTAGGCATCAATCAAGCCGATAACCCGGTAACACGCACTTCCTGTCTGTCCGTGTGACGTGAGCGTGTGGAATGGTGCGTGACGCCCGTCTGTCTCCCTGCAGTTCCTGTGTACGGTGATGGCCATCCTGCTGCACTTCCTCTGGCTCTGCGTCTTCTCCTGGCTCTTCCTGGAGGGGCTGCATGTGTACCGTATGCTGAGCGAGCTGCGCGACATCAACTACGGCCCCATGCGCTTCTACTACCTGATTGGCTGGGGCGTGCCGGCCTTCATCACGGGTCTGGCGGTGGGACTGGACCCCGAGGGCTACGGGAACCCCGACTTCTGCTGGCTCTCGCTCTACGACACCCTCATCTGGAGTTTGGCGGGTCCCATCGCGTTCGTCGTGTCGGTGAGTGTTCACGTCCGTTTGCACACTTCTGCTAGTATGTACTGAGTTTGAAAGTGTCTGTTTCTCTCTCAGATGAACGTGTTCCTGTACATCATGGCGTCGAGAGCGTCGTGTTCGCTCAAGCAGAAGAGCTGCGAGACGAGAGACGTGCCGGCGTGAGTCTCGTTCACACTGAATCCTGAAGTGTGTGTGTGTGTGTGTTTGTTAAAGTGTGTGTGTGTGTGTGTGCAGGGCGGGTCTGCGGTCAGCGTGTGCTGTGATGCTGCTGGTGACGGTGACGTGTCTGCTAGCGCTGCTGTCGGTCAACAGCGACATGATTCTCTTCCACTATCTGTTCGCCGGATTCTGCTGTGTTCAGGTACTGTGAAGCTGCTTAGCAACCGCCTAGCAATGCGCTAGCAGCGCCTGTCACTTGGGTTCCGATGTGATTGCGTGTGTGTTTGTGTTTCAGGGGCCGCTTCTGTTCTTCTTCCGCGTGGTGTTTAATAAAGAAGCGAGAGACGCCATGCGCTACTGCTGCAGCAAGAAACGACCCGATCACATGATCAAATCCAAACCATCCGTGAGTCTGAGAACAACACTGTTATAAACAACATCAGACTCAAAACAACTAATTACCATTGGTTTTATTTGTGATGCTGCATCGAGCTCTAAATTGTAAACACTATCCGAAAATACAAAACTATACAAAGCTATGGAAAAAATTAAGACTACTTTGAGTGAAATGTTAATATTTGTTTTATTCTGTAAAGGTCTGATAACATTTCTTCCAATTAGATTTTTTTTGTTTGTTTTTTCAACAATTGGTCAAAATAACAAGTCAAGTCAAGTCACCTTTATTTATATAGCGCTTTTAACAATACAGATTGTGTCAAAGCAACAGCGTCTGAAGGTGGAGACGCTGTCCAAACCCGAGGACAGAGCAGAGGATCATGGGACGGAAAACCTGCTGCTGCTGCTGCCCAGTTTACCCAACACTAGCGCACCGCCACACAAAGGTCTGAACGAGCGAACAAAGTATTCTTTAGTTAACTATAATTATAACTATACTGATACCTATAATTATAACAATACAGATAACTGTAATGATAACAATTATTATAATAACATAACAATAACTGTAATTATAGAGATAATCATAATGATAACTATAACTATACCGATAACTATAACAATATACCGATAACTATATAATTATAGCTACAATGATAACGATAACTATCACCATAACTATAATTATCATTGTAACAATATTTGTAATAACTAACTATAACTATAATATACAATAACTATATTAAAACTATAACAGTAACTGTGATAACTAATTATAATTATAACTACAATGATAACAAAATTATACTTAAAACTATAATAACTATAAGTATACCTAATACTTGAGTAATACTGATATAATTGTAACAATACCGATACCTAACTTTATCAATACTTAATAATTATAATAACTATAACTATATTATTAACTATAATATAACCACAACAGTAATTATAATTGTAATAATTATAACTATTTGTAACTATAATAACTAATGATAACTAGAACTATGACTAGCTATAAGTGCTACTGCCCAGTTTAAAGTGTGTTCTATTTTAACGTGTGACCGTGACGCGCAGGAATCCTGAAGAAGAAGCAGCTGTCGCCCATCGCAGAGAGGAACGCCATCAACCGCATCCACAACCAGCTGTCTGGAGACTCCGCCTCCTCCAGCGAGGGCCGAGGGGGCGGGGCTAGGCGGGATCATCTGAACGGGGCGTCGACGAGCGGACTGACGAAAATGCTCGACAACGACTCGTCCGAATCTGAGTGAGTGATTCACGTCCACTGATCCGTGCTCTTACTGTGACTGATTCATCAGTGACGTTATTGTCAAATTTATATTCGAAAATCACAACGACAATGTTTACAATATTATCTTCATATCTTCATGTCTTATAGTTTAGCATGATAGCTGGGTCATAATATAGTTACATTTTACGATGAAATATAAAACTTGAGCAGTATTTGCTACATTGTATAGGCCTATATTGTTTTACATAAATGTACTATATGTATGCGGATAAATATATATCCAACTTTATATATAGAGCTGTGCGATAATAGTTTACATTTTGCTATATATCCAATTATACTATATATCCAATTTTATAAATATAGCTGTGTGATGTCATAGTTCACATTTTGTTATATATCCAGCTTTATATATATAATTGAGTTAACAGTATACATTTTGCTAAATATCCAACTTTATATATAGAGCTGTGAGATAATAGTAACATTTTGCTATATATCTAATTATACTATATATCCAGCTTTATATATAGAGCTGTGCGATAAGTTTACATTTAGCTATATATCCAATTATACTATATATCCAGCTTTCTATATAGAGCTGTGAGATAATATAGTAACATTTTGCTATATATCCAATTATACTATATATCCAGCTTTATATATAGAGCTGAGATAATATAGTAACATTGTTATATATCCAATTATACTATATATCCAATTTTATAAATATAGCTGTGATGTTATAGTTCACTTTTTTTTTATATTTAGAGTTGTGCGATAATATATTTACATTTTGTGATGAAAAAATGTCAAGCGTCCATGAATCAGATATTGTTCATATACGACAGATGCATGTTTTTCTTGCAGATGCTGATGAGTGACGAGGGAATGAAGAGGCGAAGAACAATCGTCCTGTTTCTGTCCCTCCGTTTGATTTTTCCTACATTTCACGCGACAGTTGATCTGATTCTCCGTGCCAAATGCTGACGAGAATTGGTCGTTTTTTACATTTTTGTTTACATACTTGAAGCAAAGCACTTTTTTATTTCTTTCGTCCTCTTGCCGCATCGAAACCAACACGGACATATTGTAAATGAGTGAAAATATCAGGGAATTTCCTCCATGAAGCTGAACTACTGCTGGACTGAGCTGCTGCTGTACGAGCGATAAATGAAGGAACGAATCACTGGACGAACCGTGAGAAGGAACTGACTCCTGATTCAAGCCTTTCACTCGTGTTCACGATGCCTTCTCCACCAGCAGGGCCTTTATTTCGTACCGTTGGAGGAGAGCAACACTTTTGATACTTGCTTTTTTGTACATTTTGGGGACATTTTTATGCGAACTTTTAAAAAGACTGACGTTTAAAACCTTTTGAAAGATACCCTTTGTATTTTATAGATTAGCAATGATGTAAATGTGAATTTAAACCTGTGTTGTACAGATCTCTAACACGTCACGCAAACAACACGCTAACCCATCCGAGCGTTTCATCTGAATCACATCTGCACGATTTATTTACGCAAACGTCACTGCCACCGTTGAGTTTTATCGTGCAATGTGCTGCTTCAGTCTTCTGAGACTCTCCAGACGGGTCATTTTTGGACTTTTGATAACAAATCATGCTGTACCGTTTTATACACATACGGTTCTTCGCTCTGTGCTTTATTATGGAAGCATGTTTAAGCCATGGGATAAAAAATGTAAAATTGCAACTTTTTATCCCACAATTCAGACTTTTTTTTTTTCCTCAGAGTTGCGAGATATAAACACATTTAAAATTCCGAGATGTTAATTTGAGATTTCTGATTTACATTTTACATTTTTTTTATTTCATGTCGGGAACAAAAAAAACATGATTGTGAAATATAAACTCAGAATTATAAGAAGAAAAAAAACTAAAAATTGTGAGATGTAAACTTGCAATATGGAAAAAATAAAATCAGAATTTTAAGATTAAAAAGTCACAGTTATATTTGATATTTTTTATACTGTTGCGGAAACAAAACAAAACAGAATTGCGAGAAACAATTCAGAGGAAAACAATTGCAAGATGTAAACTCGCAATTATTAGTTTATAAATCGAAAATATACAAATATTGCTAAATATAAACTTAAAGTCTGAATTATGAGATAAAAAGTTTAAATTACATTTTTTTTTTTTATTCCATGTTGGAAACAAAAAATATTTGTGAGATGTAAACTTAAGTTTAAATTGTGAGAGCATATAACTCGCAATTTTGTTGGAAAAAGTCAGAATTGCGTGATATAAACTCACAATTCTGAGAAAAAAATTTGATTTGTGAGATGTAAACTTGCAATTTGGAAAAAAAATATTGAACTGTAAGATTAAAAAGTTTTAAAGAGTTACTTTAAAAAAAAAAGTATACCGTTGCAGATACAAAAAAACAACAACAAACAAACAAAAAACGGAATTGTGAGAGGTAAACAAACAGAATTCAGAGGGAAAAACAGTCAAAATTGTAATATGCAAAATCGCAATTAAGAGTTAAAGGGTTAGTTCACCCAAAAATGAAAATTAGCCCACAAATTACTCACCCTCAAGGCATCCTAGGTGTATATGACTTTCTTCTTTCAGACGAATCCAGTCGGAGTTATATTAAAAATGGTCTTTGATCTTTCAAGCTGTTTAATGGCACTCAGCGGGTGTTGCATGCATCAGTCCAAAAGAAGATAAATAAAAAGCGCCCATCCATAAAAAAAAAGTGTCTCACACGGCTCCGGGGGGTGAACAAAGGCCTCCTGTAGCGAATCGATGCGTTTTTGTAAGAAAAATATCCATATTCAAAACGTAATAATCACTTTAATGTAGCTTGCGCTCACTGTTGTACACAGAAGCAGCTCCGGGAGGATGACGCATGAGGCACTTTTTTATGGATGGGCGCTTTTTATTTAACTTCTTTT